GCTTCACTTCTTGGCGAATTTGCCACTCTTACTGTAGCTACGGGTGAGACCCTGGCCACACTCCTGGCAAGCCCCTTTCAAATAGTTGCAAACAGCGGCCAAATCCTCGGCCTGCGCACGAACGGCTGGGGCTGCCTTGGGACACTCTACGTAAAACTCCGCCATGGAGTTATCCGGCAAAGTGACCTGTTTAACTTTGGTCTCCAGAGCATAAGTTCTCTTCCTCTTCAGAGGCTTCTTGGACTTCGCATCCTCGAACAGCTGTGCTTTGCCATCCTCGTTTTCGTCCTTCGTGAACTCAGCCCAAACAGCTTCGTTGAGGGCCTTGAATTGTGAGGTTGATGCGAGCGAAATGTTCTTTACGTGTTTTGCTTCCTGCGGGCAAATGAATTTGCAAAGCCAGAACTTGCTCGCCACAAGCTTCATGTAATGTTTGTCTTCGAAACAAACAAGCAGCTCGGCTGGGATGACGATGCCTTTGGAGTGCTCTTTGGTTTTTATCTGGAATATAGTTTCGACGGTCACACCCTCTTGCTCCGGCATCTCTTCGTTTGCCCCTGCCATGCTGGTCCTTGAAGCTTCTAATAGCTAAACCTGTCCAACCCTGTGTGCAAGATGCCTGCAGGATTCAGGGTCACATGCAGGCTCTCACCAAAGTCATGATAGTGCTCGCAGGCAAAGCATGCATGCAGTTATATGCCATGTTTTGCAACACAGAAGCTGCCGAGGTCTGTGCAAAACGGATGCTGCCATCTGAAGGCTTGCATGCCTAGGGATACGAATCAGGAAGCCTTCCTCTTGTTGGAGGCCTTTGCAGCTACGGCGGGAGCTGCACACAAAAGAATTTCGCCGGCTTTCAATGCTCGATTGTTCGTGTAAAAGGGAATCTCAAGCCCTTCTTTCTTTTGATGAGAAAGTGTCATGTTGACGAGGCCGGCATCCGAGGTGGTGCGAACATACCAAAAGGGAACTAGCACATGGGGGCTTTCCTGTAGCTTCTCAACATCATTGAAGAGTTTGTGCGGATTGAGGCTGAAGCCGCCCACTGTGTGGGTGGCTTTCGGATCAAACTTGGAAAGATTGCCGTAGGCCGGGAGCTTCAGCTTGTTCTTGGGGATGGCCTGGTTGGCACAAAGACCACTGGGCGGTCCAACGAAGCTGATCATGTCAGTCGTGTCGGGAAAGTTCTTGCAAGCATCAAAGAATCGAATCTGTGCAGAAGCAAGCTCGATGGGATCAGAAGCTGCCTTGCAAGCGCCAAACATGAACTCATGAGTCTTGGCATTGTCGTAGCAAGTGAGGAGAGGCTTTTTGGTCCGTTTCCATTTCTTTAACTCCGAAGCATCCGCTGACACGGACTCCTTTGGCTGGCACAAAGGCTGATGTTCGAACCTGAGCATAAAGTTTGATATATATGCATGCTTCCATTGCATGTGTATGCAAGACTCATGACATGAAAAATGCAGCCCAAGCACGTGCAACCAGCATCAGACACTGCAGTCAAAGTCCAAACCTTGTTACCATGATCATCGTTCATGTAAGTGGAACCAACCTCCAAGTGGTTGTGTTGGAGAAGCAGGATGCTCGCTTTCGAAGCATCAACCATGTTCACTACATTTGTGCTTGCTGCCGGCACAGATGCAGCTGCTGTACCCTGGGATGCCGGAGCCGACCCCTCCGAAGGATTCTTCTTTCTCATGAGTTCCTCAGCGAATGCATCCCGAATGGCGCTGAAACTCGCCCATTCCTTCTTCTCCTGTCCTTTTCCCTGCTTGCGAAGGACGAACAAAACCATGCGAACACAGAACCTCCCAAAGATCTCGTTCCTCTTTGCCTGAGGCAAGTACAAAGCCAACTGTGCCACATGCCATGCATCTCGGAGGCTTTCCTCAGCTTCCTCCAGCTCCGCTTTCCGTTTCGTCTTCGCAGCATCAAGGTCTGACTTGAAGATCAATCTCGCCACACCATCCACCTGGTTGGGTGAGGACATTTGGGTGGCGACACATGCTATGCGAAAACACGGTGCGAGACTGCCATCCATCTTGAAGTCGTAGTGGGCGATGAGCTTGGTAAATTCTGATCCCAATCGCAAGGATTCTCCATATACTTTGCCTCGCACAAGCATGCACATGTGTCATGCATCGTATGATGCATCATTTCAAGCCATGCATGTTAGTGACATGTTCAGAATTATAGAAGACAAGGCACTGAATGCGACCAGGAAGTCTACCATCGGCATCTCCGTACCGCCACAATATCTTTGGGCGAAGTGGGCAATGCTGTTCAAATAGCTTTTGCACACCGGTTCGCCTTGCTTCGTGGCATTAATGGCCTCCTCCAAAGATCGGTTCATCTTGAAGAACTTGCTCAAGGTAGCCAAGCATTCCATCTCCGTACTTGCCACATGAACAGCATTCGTGTTGTTCAGCACTGAGCTATAGAGCAAGGGCAAGCCAGGAAGCTCACGTTCAAGAACATCTGACAAGATCATCCACTGCCAACCATGCTGAATGCAATCATGCAAAGGGTGGCCGGCTTGCAGGCTGTAGTTGGTGTTCGTAAGACCATCGATCTTGCCCAGGTTCTTGAGGAACATCGTCGTGTGCGAGCAGCCCACTGTGAGGAACAGCTCCTTGCCTGTTGGCGGCTGCATGATGGTGCTGAACTGCTCCGAAAGGGTTTTATTCGCAAGCACCTGCGAATCCCTTTCGCTGGCGGAGCTGCTCATGGCAAAAGCCACTGCCGAGCACTCCAAGAGGTCCTTTCTCAGCCCCTGTGCGAGCAACCGCTCGCCTTTCGCCACCATATCGTGCCCGTTGATCATGGCACCTCCTCTGTTCATCGGGTGGATCAGGAAACGATCCGGGGTATGCTTCTGGTGAGAGGCCAAGCCATGCTGCAGCCATAGGGCATTCAGCTTCTGCACCTTCATGTTGGCCACATCAGCAGAAGCCATGATGGCTTCCGCCTCCTTCTTCACATCAGCCGTCAAAGCCATGCTTCAAGATCTACCTTCCCCCTGCTGTCTTCGACACAAAAAGCTGCCATGCAGCAAATTGTCAACAAAACATCACGGGCATGCAGCTCGGGAATGCATACGTGCACATATACTGCAAACATGCATGCAAAAAAGCAAGCATGATCACAACAAGCATGCACAAGCAAGCATGCATAATGCAGCCCCATGCTACACAAACATTTCAAGCAAACATGCATGCCTACATTACACATGCCAAGCATGCACAGCCAAGCCATGCTTTAAAGACTGAATCATGCATCCACATGCATTATATATCCATGCACACATGCATGCAAACAAGCAAGCACTGCCAAGCATGGACAGCCAAACATGCAATCACTTTCAACACATGCAGCTCATGCCAAGCAAACATGCAAACAAGAGCACAAGCAAGCATGCACACAACCACATGCAACACATGTACCCACATGTAACACATGCATGCTCATGCATGCACATATCGAGGGCATGCAACCAAGCAAGCATGCAAGCAAACAAGTTTATATATATCATGCAGCAAGCATGCCTTGCAGAAAAGCATGTACAAAAAACCAAGAATCATCCCTGCATGCAAGCAGCATGCATACATCAATATTCAATGACATCTATCCAAACCATGCATGCATGCACGTTTGCGCAACAGCCATGCCTGCACCTTCCAAGACCAACCATGCAAGACCTTCAACAAAACATGTAAGGTCATGGTCAGGAAACTATATTGCAAAGCACTCAAGCCAGCAAGGGGACATGCCTGCATGCATCAATTCAACCCATGCAACTCCATGAATCAATGCATGGTGCCAAGGATATGGCCAACTGCATGCCAACAAAACATGGAAAAACTTTTCAAATAATCCAAATATTGCATTCCAGAAACACGAAATACAACCATCAAATTTGCTATTTTCGAGTTCCCCAAATCCTGTTCTCTAAGTCATTAATACTGTAAGCTAATTCATTAGCTTTTTTAACTTGAGTTAACATAATTAGAAAACTGCT